GGGTGCGGAGGGGGAGGACGGGGAAATTGCCTGTAGAACAAAGGTGAAGTTGATGGGAGTTAGTTGATGTTGATTGGCTTTGCTGCTGCCTTCTCATGGGAGGGGAAGGGTGTTTGTGAAATGAGCCTGGGAGAGGGAAGCGCATTCCGCCATACCTATTACGGGGACATCCCGGTCCTCGAGGAAGATGGAGTGGTAGGCCTAGACCAGTGTCAGGGGGGAAGTGGAATGGAAATGATCATTAGCAGGAGTCTTGCAAAGCTTACAGGCATGATGTGATGATAGAGAAAGAGCAATGAATCCCCTTAGAGCCTGTCTAATGAGGGCTGGCTGTTGATGGATCAGGAGAACGGCAGTGGGGGGTGAGTGAGGGGAGGGAGAAGTGCTGATAGAAGGCGGTGCTGCCAGACCGGCGGGCGGGAGGTTCCTCGTCGCATGTCATCACCCGCCCTGCCGCCTCAGGAGCTCCTCCTCCGCCTTGGGATTTTCCGGCCCCGAACCTCTTTACGCGCTGCGGGATTTCGACGCGTCTGGCCCTTCCCTTGTGTTTTGCTCCGGGCATTACTCTGACTTTCCTCATCAAGTCGGATTTCGACTCTAGAATCCGTCACCCAGCAACTCACAATCGCGATATTCGCAATGTCCGATTACGAGGACGACATGGACGTGGACGCTCCGTCCAAAACCGCGATCCAGTTCAGCTCCGATAACACCAATTCTAAATCCAAAAGACCCGCGGCAGATCTACCAATTGAGGCTCAAGACAACCTTCCCTGGTCCGTTGACCATGTTTCCAATCCGCCGTAGTGCTTCTGTTGACTGACTGCTACCAGGGTCGAAAAATACCGACCGAATACTCTCGACGATGTCTCCGGACACCAGGATATTCTAGCCACAATCAACAAATTCGTCGAAGCCAATGTACGCAGTAATATCTCCGCAGATCATCACTAGCTACTCACCAAGCTTTAGCGTCTCCCCCATCTCCTTCTATATGGCCCTCCTGGTACGGGCAAAACATCCACTATCCTCGCGCTGGCCAGGCGGATATATGGCAGCAAAAACATGCGACAGATGGTTTTAGAGCTGAATGCCAGTGATGACCGTGGTATTGATGTGGTCCGTGAGCAGATCAAGACGTTTGCGAGTATGTCCACCCACCAACAACTACGGCATGGCGCTCCAAACTTACCCTACGTTTGCTAGGCACCAAGCAGATTTTTTCTATGGCACCCGCAGCTGCCTCTGGTGGCTCCTCGCTCGCATCTTTCAAACTCATTATTCTCGATGAAGCCGATGCTATGACGGCAACTGCACAGATGGCACTTCGCCGGATCATGGAGCGGTACACCGCCAACACGCGATTCTGCATCATCGCCAACTATACGCACAAACTTTCCCCGGCTCTCCTTTCGCGTTGTACCCGATTCCGATTCAGTCCGTTGAAAGAGCGGGATATCCGAGTTTTGGTGGATCAGGTGATTGAGAAGGAGCAGATCAACATTCAGCCCGAAGCAGTAGACAGCCTGGTCAAGCTGAGCAAGGGTGACATGCGACGTGCCTTGAACGTCCTTCAGGCTTGCCATGCAAGCAGTAAGTCCATGCCCCGATGGTAGTCTCAGGAAAGCTCCTTCATACTGACCTTATTAGGTATACCCCTTCCCATGAAGGACGCCCCTCAAGACCAGCCCCGTCCAGAGCCAGAGACGATTACGAATGAAACGATTTACGACTGCATTGCCGCGCCCCATCCCTCTGATATCGAAGAGATCATGCGAACACTTCTTAACACGAGTGATATTACCTCATGTCTCAACACAATTAATACGATTAAGACCAATAAGGGTTTAGCTCTGGCGGACATCCTGTCTGCGTTGGGCGACCAGCTGCAACGGGTCGAAGTCCCCGCACAAACCAGGATTACCTGGCTGGAAGGGCTAGCGGAGATAGAATGGAGGCTGGCGGGAGGAGGTTCCGAGACGATGCAGACAGGCGGATTGGTGGGTGTTGTACGAAACGGCTGTGAGCTGATGGACCGGTAGTCACTCCTGCAGCATCATAAGAAGAATTTATGATCAAATCATTCTATACCACATAAGTCAATTGATCAGAAGAATTCTACAGGACGGTTGATTTAATATGAGAATTACCTAACGGGCCAATAGCGCCTTGCTGACGATAAGGCGATTGACAAAATAGGTTAATAAGCGGAGTGGCCTGAACTGCAGGGCTGGAAGCCTGGGACTTGCAGTTCCTCCACTTTTACTAATCCTTTCAGGGTCTGACTCAGGGTTGGATCCCCCAGCCAGGGTTGGATCCCCCCAGCTGGGGTAGACAACCTATCCTGGGGGTCTTCAGCAGCGCAAGCTTTCCCCCGTTCAACGGTAATTAGACCGAGAGCAACGAAGAAAAGCATATCGGAATGTCAACTAAAGTCAATTCATCTTTCATCGTTTGTGTCAGTCGATGTCGATAAGAAAACACGGGATGGAAGCTAAGCCCACAAGCGGGGAACAAGGCCAAGAGGCGTTTTTGGTCATGATTTCACCATTGGCATCAGATAAGCTCTCCTAAGATTTGTTCAATGGCTTCAGCGTCGCATTTCCGCGGGACACTACGAGCATTATCTGCAGGATGGCACTTCCGGGGAGTCATTTCTCCTATCAGTTGCAATTGCACCCTAAGACAGGAAAGCAAATTGACCAACCAATTCCGATTCTCCTGCCAAGTAGTCATGTTGTCTAGGACCCTTTCGATCTGTAGGGTTTAGCTCCTGTTCCTTTGGTTTTTTTTTTCCTGCGGACCCCGCCGTGGTCGAGGCGAATCATTCTCATGATAAAGTCCTGCTCCGCGGCAGACGCCGGGCTGGCTGGCCGTCGGCCGTGGTTCTTTTCTCTTATAGACTGGTCTGGCTGCTACCTTCCCCTCATTCTACTCCTCTCCGTTTCCTCTACTCCTCCCCTCAATTCTCCCCCCCAGAGTCAGAGACCTCGTGGCAGTCAACTTTCATCATGCGGTCCTCTACCCGGCAGTCCAGTTTCATGCTTGCCTTGCTGGCAATGCCTTTGGCCCTGCCAGTATCAGCAGAGAGGATCCTTGGGGCTTACATCTTCGCTCGTCACGGAGATCGGACGGCTAAGGTGTTGAAGAACACGGAGCTGACTGATCTGGGCTACAGCGAAGTCTATCAGACAGGCAGCTACTGGCGCAGCCGGTATCTTGACTCGAACTCGTCTCTCCAGATCCAGGGGATCAACGAGGATATTGTCAAGTTGAGCCAGATCAGTGTCTCGTCACCCTCCGACGATGTGCTTCAAAACTCGGCCACGGGCTTCCTCCAGGGTGTCTACCCTCCCGTGGGCTCGTCGGCGAACCAGACCCTGGCTAATGGCAGCACTGTCGATTCTCCCCTCAACGGATACCAGCTGATTCCCATCTCCCTCACCGAGACTAATTCGAATAGTGAGGACACGGCCTGGCTGCAGAGCTCAACTGAGTGCCAGAACGCCGAGGTCAGCAGCAACAACTACTATTCCTCGGCACTGTACAATTCGCTACACTCCTCCACCCAGGACTTCTATCAGTCGCTGTCCTCTTTGCTGAATGGGACCTTCTCCGACTCCCAGATGAGTTTTAAGAATGCTTACACGATCTTCGACTACCTCAATGTTGGGTACATCCACAACACCACCAATGTCCCCACTGAGGACCAACTCCACCAGGCCCTCCTCCTGGCCAACATTGAGCAGTACAACTTGGCTTACAACTCCTCGGAAACCATCCGCGCCATCGCAGGGGCAATCCTAGCCGGAGATGTGCTCACCGGCCTGAACGAGACCATCTCCTCCAAGGGCAAATCCAAGCTGAACATCCAGTTCGGCTCCTACGGCACTTTCATGTCCTACTTTGGACTTGCGCAGTTGCCCGCTGCGGACGTCGACTTCACGGGTATCCCTGACTATGCTTCCTCCATGGCATGGGAATTGGTGACCAACTCGACGGATTCGTTCCCTTCGGCCTCCGACATCAGCGTGCGCTTCGTGTTCCACAACGGAACACTCTCATCCGGCTCGCCCACCGAGCACCCGCTCTATGGCAAGTCCAGCTCTACCATCTCGTGGTCGGAGTTCTCCGAGCTCTCGAGCAAGATCGCCGTTACCTCGACCAAGCAGTGGTGCAGTGTTTGCGGCAACACCGATGGAGACTGTGCGGCCTACTCGACTAGCTCGAACACCACCACCACGACTACTTCGTCGCAGACGAAGAGTGACGCTGGAGTCTCCAGGCCCGTGGCGGGTGTCATCGGTGCGATGGTGACTCTAGCGGTGATCCTTGGTCTTGAGGCACTGCTGCTCCTGGCTGGTGGATTCCGCATCACCAAGAAGCGCGCTCCTGCTGCTGCGGCCGCCGCTGCTGATGCTGAGAAATAAGGTCAATGAGAGATGTAGATGTCTAGGTCCAGCGCTTGGATTCTAATGAGGGACGATTTACGGTATGACAGTCGAATGGGTGATCTTCATGCAGCAATAATAGCATCCGCAGGTAATGAACAAAACTTTTCTGTTGCAAGCCAATATCCACTTTTATCTTCAGGAAGAATTTCTCATTCATAGTCTGAATAAAGGCACATGAGGCATAGAAGCTCAATCCCACCCATATATCTAGACCCTAGTTAGAAACTTCCGTAGCTCTAGGGTTTTTGCTGCTCTCTACTTGGAAGGTGAGAACAGTCATCATAGTCAGCTTGTAGCTGACAGCTATCCCTGATCCGAAGCATGAACATTGAGATAAAAATGATCCATGACCACTAGACCTGTGTAATAGCTATAGCAAGATCAATTGATCCAGGTACCGAAGCACCAGAGAGGTGGATTTATCGAGCGAAAGTGGGAGACAGCGGCAGTGGTTAGGGCGGAGTAGAAGGACGTGACGCAGCCGAAAGTTTCCCGGGAAAGCTTCGGCTTCCATCTTGACCTTCATTCCTATCCCCGTCAACCCTCCGTCAACCTCTCTCCGCGGCTCAACCCAGTTCCCACCTCACCGCGGGGTGCAGCAAGCCCACAGACAACATCCTCACCATCGCATACACCTACTGCGCTATCCATCCACCCATCTTATACACGCAGCCCGACTTAATCGCACCATTACCATTCCCTGTCGCACACCACCCACTCCCACTCCCACCCTCACACCCACTCACATCACCACCTAAACCCCCGGTCCAAAATGTCAACCCACTACAACACCGAACCCCCCGCCACGGCCACAGCAACCCTTCACACGACCCTCGGCCCAATCCACCTCTCCCTCTTCGGCGCACAAACCCCGCTCACAACGCGCAACTTCCTCCAACACGTCGCGGACAACTACTACACGGGGACGATCTTCCACCGGGTGGCGCCGGGGTTCGTGATCCAGGGCGGGGACCCGACCGGCACGGGTGCGGGCGGCACCTCCATCTACGAGGAGCCCGAGTTCGAGACGGACCCGGACGCGCGCGACCCCACCGAGAAGATCGTGCTGCGCGATGAGCTGCACAGCCGGCTGCGGTTCAACCGGCGCGGGCTCGTGGGGATGGCCAAGAGCGAGGACGGGACGTACGGCAGCCAGTTCTTTATCACCTTGGCGAACACGGAGCGGGAGCTGAACGGGCAGTGCACGCTGTTTGGGCGCGTGGAGGGGGACAGTATTTTCACGGTGCTCAAGATTGCGGAGGCGGAGGTGGTGGCGGGCACGGAACGGCCGGTGTATCCTGTCAAAGTGACGGGGTGTGAGGTCGGGGAGTTGGGGAGGTTTGCGGGGAAGGTGGTTCTGAATCGGAGGGTTGCTGCTGCGCCAACAGCAGCAGGAAGGGGGGCGGAGAAGGAGAAGGGCAAGGGTGCTGCGAAGAAGAAGAGCAAGAAGCCGAAGAAGACGCTGTTGAGTTTCGCCGGTGGGGATGGGGACGGGGAGGGGGATGATGACGAGGAGGAAGGGATTCCCGTGCGAGCGGCGAAACCGAAGTACAACGCTACGCTGGTCAGCGATGCAGCAGCATCCTCCTCGTCTACGAAGAAACCACATGACCCAGACCTAAAAGAAGAATCACCACTCCACACAAAACGACCTCCTCCAACAGCAACATCGAGCATGCCACCACCACAACCAGCACAACAGCCCACGCGCAAACCCAGCACCCCCGACCCATCCAACCAACTCCCCCTCCCAGACCCCGAATCCCCAATCTCCTCCCCCGAGCCCACCCCCGCAGCCCCCAAGCAAACCAAACTCGACCGCACAAATGCCGAAATCGAAGCCGTCATGGCCTCGATGCGCCGCAGCACGGCCCCGGTCCACGATCCTTCCACGCACAAGAAATCTGCCCTGGAAGCCATGATCCCCTCCACTGCCATCCGGGGCCGCCGGCGCCCTGGCCCCGGCAGCAGCAGCACTGCTGCCCCCGGAACAAGCGGCGGCGGCAGCAACGGAATCACCGGCTTCTCCAGCAACAACTCCGCCGACGCCCAAGCGCTGAAGATGTTCAACGCCTTCAAGGCCAAGCTCGAGAATGCGGACTCCGTCACCCCGTCCACCACTGCCACCAAACCAAGCAGCAAACCCACCCCCCATCCAACATCCCAGACAACCGCAGCAGAAGAGGAAAACGAAGACGAAGAAGCCCAGCTATGCGACCTGCACTTCATCGCGAACTGCCAATCGTGCCAATCGTGGAACGAGAACCCGGACGCCGCCGACGAGAACCCTGATGCAGCAGCAGCAGCAGCAGCAGCCGGCGACCCGGAAAATGATCGCGGGTGGCTGACGCACCAGCTGCGGTTCGGGAAGGATACGCTGGGCAAGGATCTGAATTGGAAGAAGGAGCACCCGGAGGACGTGGATTCGTTGATGGTGATTGATCCCCGCGAGAAGGAGCGGGAGATTGTGGCCTCCTCGTCGTCGTCGGGGAAGAAGAGAGGGTTGGAGCGGGATCGGGAGCGGGAGCGGAAGCGTGGCCGGGTTGGGGATTTGGAGTGGGAGAGGGAGCGGAGGCGCTAGCCTTTTTTTACTTACAGAAAACAGTTTACTATAGGTAGTAACGTACTGGGTATTTTGGTGTGTGTACAGTACTGGATTTGTAGAGATCATTTGGTTGATCCTATATGCTTGGAATATAATCTGGTAGGGAATCTATAATAGATGGATGGATCTACTATCTTGGATTCAAGGCAAGGGTAGCTAGATATGAGGTACTTGCTAATATGCTAATCATACCCATTGATTCACAGATACTCTAGACCATGAACAATGACTTATGTCGTGTCTACACACCACAATCAGTAGCTTTGATCCTCGAAGAGAGTCTCCATCTACTCTCTGTTGTGGTAGGCTTAGCAGAAACGCAGAGATACTGAGCAACCAGGTCACACACACACCGCTCTCATAAGAATTCATTACTATATTATGGCCCGAAAGGATTTCTACCAATGCCACTGCATGAGAAGACCGATCGCCTAGACATCAGAAGCAGACCAAACTAGCTAACATTTTTCTCTTTCTAAATATGAACAAGTTGATCTTTTCCAGGCCGTATCCCTCCTGCTTGGTTCTTTTTGTTGGTGGGTCATCACAACATAATAGATAAAAACATAGATTCTAGTTTGAGGAATCGAAGGGCAGTGGAGGAAGGGGAAGGAAAGGGGAAAGGAGGGAGGGGGAGTCAAAAGGCATGGCCTTGGTACCTGATACACATTGGGGACGAAGAGACTAAAAGATAGGAAAAGCGGAGAAAGTAGAATGCATTTTCCTCATAGACTTCGCGATTCAGTCTTGCGGAGACTCCCCACGTATACGTGCACTTGCATCTCACTTCTATCTCGCTCCCTTGTCCTTTTTTGGGCAGTCAAGCTTGGTCGGTGCCCGACCCCCGTTAGTAGAATATCGTAAAGTCGGAAATCAAGCCTTCTTGCGCCGTTTCACGCCGCTACCAAGACCCTTACCTCCCGGAGCATCGTTGCCCGTGTCTAGCCCACCGTACTGTAGGCTCTCGTCCACAGTGTTAGCAGGACTGGTGGCATTGCTATCAGGCAAAGATTCAACTCTGCTAGAGTCTTTGCCATTAGGAAGCGGCCCATCCGCCCCGATGCCGGCGTGAAGGTCATTTCCGCCGTACCCGCTGCCATCGAATCCATGGTAGAAGCCCGGATTGTGTGGTGGGGGATTGGCTCCGCCGAAGAGATCATTATCAGCGGGGAGATTGTCGAAGTCGAACAACTCGTTCGCGTCCTTGATCCCACCATCATTGGGACCGGCGGTAACCACCGGGTCCGCCGCGGTTGTGGCTGGCACGGACCCGGTCGGATCGCCATAACCTAAGCTAGCTTTATTATGTTCCAGATCTCCAATATCCGTGAAGTAGTCGTTATTGAAGATAGTATCAAGGTCAAGTGGGGGAGGGGGCGCACTGCCATCTATGCTGATTCCGGGTATGGTGCCCGTAGGGCTGAGGGGTTGTAAGAGGTTGGTCAGGTTTTGCACAGAGCGATCTTGCTCGGCCTGCATCTTGACCAGGTTGTCGATCTCCGCACGTGTATTGGCCAGCCGACCGGAGTAGTTGTGCGGCATCGGCGGAGGCGTCGGGGTGACCAAGGCGTTATTTGGAGACGATGCACCATTGACTCCACCGGAGCCTGTCTCATGGGCCATGAGGCGAAGCATATCGGCGCGTTGGCTGGGGGTAAGTGGCGAGTTACCGCCCGAAGTCTCGAGCGATGACAACACATTCGGGAAGTCGGCGAAACTCGTTGGCATACCGTTTCGGGCGTTGGAATTTTGAATGACTGACATGATGTCCCGCTGGGGTACATGAGACCCTGAAGGCGGTTGCGCCTCCTTCTGCCGAGGACTGTTGTCGTATACCTCTTCGACATGTCCCGGATGAGAGACGCTGGCTTGCCGGCCATGACCGCGCGAATGTGAACGGTCATAGGTAGTGGAAGCTGGGGACAAGGTCGTGGCACGGCCCTGACGGTCTGGCCCCGGAGGAGCCTTGAGCAGGAGCTGCTGTTTTTTCAGCGACCGCGGTCCCGTTGGGCTAGTCAGGTCGGTAGGCCCTAGAGACCCGAGCGAGTAATCGTCCATGTCAACGATATTGCCATGCTCCTGTGAGATGGCCCCAGCAAACGAATTCGCTAGATTTTGCGGCCCTTCCTGCCCTTGCAGACTGCGATTGTAGACTGTCGCCAAGAACGTTAAAATCGCGTTGATAGAGTTCTCGTGCCTGGTGTGCTGCTCTTGGAAGTTGGCTGCCTGCGCATACAGTTGCTCGTGTTCCCTCCGCAGTTTGGTGATGGTGTTGGAGATAATCTGCTGTTGTTGGCGAATCGCTTGCAACTCTCTATACACCCCCGCGAGTTGATCCTTCGGCATGAGGCTCCCCGTGATCAAGGACAGCTGGCGGTTGCGCGATCGATCATCTCGTGCAGGTCCCAAGGCATCATCCACGTACTCGTCATTATCATTTTCCTCGATCTCTTCCGTCTTCACCCGCACATTGCCCTTGCCCGTCTTGCTGCCCTGCCCGGCTGCGTTTTTAGGTTTCTGAATCAACCACAACAAGTCGGGGTGACCGCGCTTGAAGTATGGATTCGCATATTCGCTGGGGCTCTTATTCTTCCGTTCGCTGGCGCGCATGGAATTGTCAGAGAGCCCCACCTTCTTGTGGAAGCCGTACATATTCAACTGGCGAACAAAAGAAGCGTAGTTGTTGTGCTTGAATAGCTCCGGAATCAAAGTCTTCGCGAATTCATCTTCGTCCATCACAATGAAAGAGTTGCCGTCGTCCGACCACCGAATCAGATCGGTGTTTTTAGACTCATCCAGAAAACTGCAGCCTTAGTTGGTCACCTATTTCATTGATTCAAGTTACTTTTCCGGGGTAGCGTACCTGCTCAGTTTCTGAACGAAAGGAGGGATCTGTTTCCGCTTGGCTTGGACTTCTCTTTTCGCGACCATCGCGCGCTCATACAACTCACTGAGGCTCTCCCCCCATCCACCGGACTCGCCAGAGCCACTGCCATGGTCTGAGAAAGAGGCCGACGTCTGGTCATACCCGCGACTGCGGTTGACCAATTGAGTGGGGGTCTGGCGCCGGGCAAGCTGGCCGGAAGCCGTCACTGTGGAGGCCGGGACATCTGAGTTCGAGGTGTATGCCGCCGGGTTGTAAGAGCTCGCATCAGGGTAGGACGGGCTGGAGACGTTGGAGGAGGGATTCTGGCCCCATTGTAGGAACTGGTCGTTCGACAGCTGGTTGCCGGGATTTTGGGGATAATTCGTGAGCGGGCCAAGTTGCGGGTGCACGATGGGAGATGTGCCAGGAGCTGGTCGTTTGCGGGTGATTCCTTGAGGGCTCATCACAGGCGACTGAACGACCTACGGACGGTCGGTCAAGCAAGCGGTTATTGTGGAGAGAGGAGTTTTTTTTTTTTGGTCGATTCGCGTGTTCCGTCGTGCTCAGGGATGGGGCAGGATAAAAAGTCCGAGAAATAAGCGATCAGCGAGGGAGGAACGACTCGCTGCTCGGGATCTGCTGGGTGGGCGAATGGCGGGGGATAAGCGGGCGGGTATTCAGCTGGCACGGCTGGCTGATTTGGGAAATCGCAAAATCAAGGACAGTCATAGACGTCGTGGGGGGTGGGCGAAGGTATATAGTCCCAGAGCTATATCACTCGAAGGATAGGACAAACAAGGAACAGAGCAGGAGGAGAAGGAGCAGTGGACAAGGGTGGATGGAGAACGCAAGTGTCAACGGCGGAGACGCGACGGGCGCCGCCGCAGACGCTAGATGGAGTAGTTGCAAGAAATGAACGCGAAAGGCGGGAGTCAGGCAATAGGCGGATACGGCTTGATTGAGAACAATCGTTTGCTATTGTATGGGATTGTCGTTTGGTTTGCACTGTTTCTCACAGACGCAAGAGAAAGGGAAGTTGTAGGGAACGATGGCAGGGCGACTGTGACAGACAGACAGCAGACAGACGGCCTTGACAGGACTCGAACCAGTTGGGTCGCAGAGGGTCGCAGAGGGTCGCAGAGGGGGAGAACACGGCGGGCGGGCGCAGGGAAAGCCAAAAGCACCAGCGCTGCACAATAAAGTACGCACTGGCAGGAGTAGTAGTAGTAATAGTAGTAGTATACCGGTGAGTAGGTAGGTGTTCGATAAAAAAGAAGGACTGGGCTGAAACTGTCGGCCACGACCCTCCTAGTTCCAAGGCTCCGCAGTAATACCAAGCTGATCCTAATGGGTCCTAATGGCGCCGCGGTCTTGGTGGATTTAGAGAACAAAAAACGGCGTTTCCAGTCTTGCAAAACTCCTCCTATCGAGAAGCTTGGCGGGCGGTGATGAGGTCAATTGCTGGAACTGCGCCAGTTGATTGGCGGGTCTTGCAGATAGCTGACTCAGCTGGTTGTCACTTGCACGTGCTGATTGATTGGGGCTGGCAACTGGCCAAAGCAGAAATTAGCACTGGTTGACTCCGGGTCAAGTACTAGGAGTACTAGGTAGCTAAGAAATTATAACGTTATCAGCACTGAGTCACTGGCACTCATCTTCTGGTCCGGCTCTTATCATTGAGCGCCCCAGTGTCGGAGCGGGAACCTTTAAAGAAAGAAAGAAAAAAAATCTTTGTTGTTTAGTTGACTGGTATACTACTACAAATGAACAGTTTGAGGCTGTCTAAGCACTAGTTCGGCCGTGCCTTGGACCGGTACGCTCTCCACTTCTGCCTCCTATCCAATCATCGTCTACTATCAACAGTAGCCGCGACCTTGTTCGGCATCCAGATGGCCGTGATCCCCAGAACTATTGGCCCTCCAGATGTTTCAAGCGGCTTCGATGGAGTTCTGGCTGGTCAAATTTTTGCTCCCATGCTACTTGGCTGGGGAAAGAGGGCCGCAGAGGGACGGAAAGAGCAAACAGCAGCCAAAAGAGGGCATAGCCAAGAACAAACGGGCCAGGACCGAGATTCCGCCGGAAGTACGAGACAACCTCCACACTTTGTCGCGTGTTTCCTTCTTTTATCCCCATTGACACAACGGTAGAAAGGATAGTCTAAACCTTCTCAGCCAATGCCATGGCTTATTCCCCGATTGTTCGTCGGAACTCTGCCAGGATTTCCTGCCACACCTCTGGCGAAGCACCAGAAAATCGCTCGATCTTCGTGAGAGCAGCCAAATCCTCTTTCATGCGAGCCGTGTTGGTGGTTCCATCCAACACCGTGGTATACCCTAGGCCCAAGACCAGACAGTAGAGGGCTGTCGCCGGGGAGAGCTCTGCCCGCTGGGCCAATGACTGCACGGCGTTTGAATGCACGAGATCAGGGTTCGCCGTCAGTGTCCAGAAGCTCTGGTAGACGATGTGCTGCTCCCGACAGAAGGCGCGCAGCGCGACATCATACTCCGTGTCGGCGTAGAACCGATTCTGCACCACCGACGGCTTCACCTGCACTTGGGTGAACAACTCCTCCAGAACCGACAGGTCGGTGTTCGAGATCCCCAGGTTGCGAATGCGGTGCGGGACGTACGTCTCAAAGGTCCGCCAGGCCTCCAGCGTCTGCGCCATGGTGGGCAGTGGGGAATGGAGGATAAGCATATCAATGTACGCCTCATCCGCACTTTCCGGCGCCTCGGCCGGACGCAGATTATGCAGCGATGAACGAATCGAGGCATGGACCTGCTCGGTCACGGACGCCTTCGGATCGTAGGGCATATCCTTGGGGTCCTGGCCCCGGACGGAAGTGAATTTGGTCTGGACCTAAAACCTGGCTTAGCCACCGGGGGGTCATGCATCATGATGCAGCAGGGTATGCTTGTCCGGGAAATTGAGATTCCACAAGGGTGTAATGACGGGACCTACATGGAGATCTTTGCGCTGGATGGCGCCATCGTTGAGGGCCCTGCGAATGCCCTCTCCGACTAAATCCTCCCGGTAGTGCTTGGGTTGGGCAGCGGTATCCACGGCACGGAAGCCAGTGCTCAGCGCCTGGTGAACCAGATCCGTAGTCTGGGTTTTCTTCCATGCGGTCCCATATATCAGAGTCGGTATTATCGACGGAGGGGCGTTCTGGACCGGCCGAAGGACATGATTTTCCCAGGACATCTTGCTTATCGCAGCGCGGGCCATTGGAAAGTGGGAAGTGGGATGCGTATAGGAGATATCCGGATAGTGATAGGAATAGGATGTATGGAGTATACTAAGGATGTACTACTAGCAAGTCACGCACGAGGTGGAAACATGGGACTTCAGACGGCAGGGATCTTATGACATGTAATGGGACAAATTGGACCGAATGAGGGGTTGTTCGACGGCACATTCCGACGCGGTTTACTGACCTCATGATGACCTAAGGTAGGTAGGTAGCATGCCAGCTTTACTCTTTTGAGTGTGTATGGGAATTCATTTCCGGAAAGTATCCATCTACTATACTAGGCCCTGTATAGGACAAAAGGACTGTGGAGTAGTAGGTGCTTTCAAGTTGACCAGTCCCGAATAGTGATCACATCCCGAAAGCCGCCCGGCCCTTTTTCGTGATATTTGGTACATGTACATATTCATAGTCACAATCGATTTATGGGCAGTTGTTGTCCGGACTGTCAATCTTCTTGCATATTCTATGAGATTGTAGGCAGCATAGTTTCGTTAACCTACAGATGAGTACTCTGCCTGGCTTGTGGTTCGATTAACGTGTGACGCTCTCTATATATAGCAAGGAGGCGGTGCAGGGCTTGTCAGGGCCATCCCATGTATGCATCTTCTCAAGAATCTTCCCTGCACCTTTGACGTTTCTCCACCCAAACCCAGGCTCCCTGTTGCAACTGGCAATTACCCTGTTTTTGCGCGGGATGTTTGGATTTGTACTGTGATGGGAATATCATCACATACCACCACAATAAATCCGCAAGAGCTCTACACACCACCGAGTAACCATGCCTAAGTTTCCATATAAGCACACCACATCACTAATCCAAAGCAGCGGGTCTCTTCCTAAATATCTACCCCTCCCAGAAACAATATGGTCCAGAATCAGTCGGGATGAACCCTGACTCTGCATGACATAGCTGCCACCCATCGCGATTGCAAAGCCAAAAAGCCAAGCTACCACTCCCTAGCCGGGGACGAAGATCTGCCAACAAACCCTTTCCCCCCCCAGCGAACGCCCAACTTGCAGAACCATTCTCTGAACCACGATATCGCCAACCACTGCAAGCCCACCAGGCAACCACTTTCTACGGGGTGGTACATTGGTTTTTTCGAATGTTGATCGCCGCTTCATCAGGGTCCTGCTCCTGCGGCCTCCTCCCCTTCGACCTTCTTGGCGACCGCGAGGCTGAGTAAGGTCCCATCCAGATAGCAAGCTTCTGGTCTCGCTTGCCAAGTTCCTCGCTACGAGGGTTCTGCGCACCGGATGAATGGAGGGGTGTTGGTCACTCAAGCGAACTCGGCATCGGCAGTGCTCTCAGTGCTCCATCTACCTCCGCGAGGGGACGGGAGGGGAAGAGGAAGCTGTAGCCTACGATCAAGAAATAGCGATGAAGCAAATATAGAAACCTACACCCAAGGAAAATGAGGGGAAAGGCAAGCCTTCGAGTAAAGTATAAAGATGGGCTCCACGGTCCCGGTCGATTAGAGTTCGATACCAGCAACAAAATCGCACTCAGAACACTTTCAACGAGCCTTCTCATCTCATCTCCATAACCAGTTCCTCCTCCTCCTCCTCCTCCTCCTTCTTCTTCTTCTTCTGTCTGTCCGTCCGTCTGTCTCTCCCTCCATTGCATCTCGCATCTGCAGCCAACAGCAAAACCAGAAACAAACCAAAATGCGCATCGCCCAGCTCCTAGCCCTCAGCGGCCTCCTGCTCGCAACCACCGTCACCGCCGGCGGGGAGCTCGACCGCAACGATGTCCCCAACGGCTGCTGGGAGCCGTGCGGCCCCGTCGTCAACATCTCGCACGCCTGCGACGCGAAGACCGACAACGACCGCGCCGAACTCCAGTGCATCTGCCAGTGGGACCGCGCAGCCACGCTCATCCCGCTGTGCGAGGCCTGTATCGGGTATTACCGGACTCAGCAGCATCACGATGATGACCACGATGATGACCACGATGATGATGATGATGACGATGATAACGACCTTCATGATAACGGTATGCATACCCCTCCAAGGATCTCTATAGCAGAGCACCCCGCAGCGGAGCATAAAACTAATCCCATGGGGCTGGGAGGGACAGACGCATACGATATTCTAACTTCATGCTCCCTGTCAACCACCACCTGGAACCCGGCGGCTGCGACCTCGGTGCTGAGCGCGGTGAATGCGTCGGCGACGGGCAATGCGACTGCTAGTGCTACTGGGTCGGGGGTCACGGGTACGACTAGTACTGCTACTGCTGGTGCGACTGGGGGAGGACGGGATAGTGCTACTGGCTCCGGTGGTAGTGGTGGTGCAACGGGTCGGGCTGATTCGGTTACGGCGACGGGCGCGGTCTCTGCTGAGGGGGCCCGAGTTACTGATAATGCGGCGCCGGGGGTGGTGGCGGCGGGTCGTGGGGCTGCTTCGGTTGCGGCTGTTGTTGGGGTGGGGGTTCTTGTTTGGTTGTGAGGGTGAGTGGCTAGGTACGAGTATTGGGATGGTGGTGGGGGATCAGTGGGGAGGCAGGAGAAGGGTGGGAAGTGAGTGGGAGGGTTGAAGGGGATTGGTTGGTTAGATCTATGAATGGTGGACTATGGAAGTATGAGTGATGATTTTGGTAGATTGGAGATAATTTCTTGTTGTCGGGTTGATGTTGTTTGGGCTTGAGAAGGGTTGTTGATGTGGTTTCGACTGCAGTTGTCAAGTTTTCAGAATGCTGCTGTCAATTAGTCAATTGTTTCGATGAATATGAACAAGATACTTCTGAGTCAGGTAATCTGGTGCTGGCAGTCTAGACTCGATATTTGTTGAGTATCGAGGCTCAGGGGCTCCAATTGGTAAAAGTCGGGAGAAACAGTCACTTGCTGATAGAATAAGGTGACTGCTTCATGGCACTGGCCATGGTCATACAGCGAAGCAAGAGTAGTGAATGTTATCGACAATTGCTAGGAGAAGGCCAATACTTATCACGCGGAGGTGGTGAACTTATTCGCGAATCACCCACAGTAAGAAACGTTAGAGGCTTACCACAGAAGTATACAGAGCACAGAGCTGCCTCAAACATCAAATGAGATGCAATGATCGGACACCAGATCAGCGAACTTTCCATGCCACCTTCATACTCATTTCGGAGCGAGTGTCGATGGAGCCAGATAAGAAATCCCAGGACTGGATTAGCAGATAGTCCAAGGATGAAAACGCCAGCAACCTCCTCGATCGAAACCTACACCTACACCACACCAGCAGCAATGACCGCTCTGCAGTATTTACAGTAGAGTGCTGCCCTTCCTAGACACCACGCTACGCAAAGACACCATCAAATATGAGAGATCTCCCTCGACCTCCACACCACTTCCCAGAAGAATGTGGGCATTCGAATTCAGCAACCCACCTCAAGGCCTTCACACTTCAGACCCGACATGATATCTATCCAACGCAAAGCAACTGGAACTGAAAAAAAAGCAAAGCGTTTAGATATCACCAAGGTAAGCCTTACCTAACAACACTCACCGGAGACAGCGACCAAAAGACCGCACTCACGGGTTGATCGCTCTCTCTCTTCAATCCCTTCCGAAATTACCACGGGAACAGCCGAAATGACATATGCTGACAGGAGGGGAGGGAGAGAAAACAAACTTCCCAGTCCACGGGGTCTTTTCTGTTCGCTCCTGGCGGACGGAACGACGGAACGGAGGTCCAGTAAGGGCCCCATCTAACTCCGTAGCATGCTGCATGGGCGATGTGACTGAGGCCGGATCAGGAAAAAGGTATCTGACCTTTCATATGTACTGCACGTACATACAATTCATGTACGGATTCCTCCGTACAGGACCAGTGGCTTCTCTTTGCATGTGTGTATGTATGTGTGTGTTGTTATTGTGGGAGGGCGATGGGGGGTCGTCAGCCCTTGCTTGGGCGAGGTCGGTCTGTTCCTTGGGTAGTCTCGAGAGTGACAGGTTGGTGACTCAGTCGGAACGGGGGCGAGTGAAGTTGCTGTGAGAATGTTGTTTTGAACCGAAAGGAGGGAAGGGGGGAGAGGAAAGGCGAAAGGGGAGAAAGGAGCGACTTATATGTCACTGGTATGGATGTGTTCTTTGTTGGGCAGGTTTCTCTGAGTGTATGCACCATCTGGGCATATTGGTAGGTGTCCTCTGTCCGTCTCCTCTTGGAAAGAGGGGAGGGGGGGTTATCGCACTCCAGTGGCGACTGGCGCGAGGTCAAAATGATGGATCAGGTGGCTTACATGTTGCATTGCATTAGCTCCATCCTGCACAGACCAGAACAAAAATATGAAGAGTATGGCGATTGAGAACAGAACAAGAAAAATCACAAAAGCAACGAAAGGGAAATGTCATCATCGTTTCAATGATCTGAGAGAATCGTAAATCGACTCCCTCACAGGGTGATCATCGAGCCCTCTTGCTGGCGTCGTTGGGTAACCAAATCTGCAGCCCGCAACACATTTGCTGGCACTGCGAGCCCTCCTCGACAAAGACATCAGGGAGAAAGTGAAATGTTTAAGGTGAATGACATAAGTCGCAAACATGACTTCGGCGAGCAACAGCAAGAAAGTGGGCACGTCAATACAATGCACCCGTCTACTTGTCCTTCCGGCCAGTTAACGGATGTTGCCAGATGATGATCTTCACCTCCCATTAGCGTTTGTATGGCAGAGATTGGCCTTGACGGGATATACGAGGCGCAGTCCCATGCGCTTGCTTTTTCGTCTTGATTGCATCATGTTATTTCCACAGCCACGAGGGCTGGTGTCTTGCTTCGAGGTACTTGAGCTGTGTGGTGGTAGCAAGTGCTGCGTGGGTGCGAGAAGCCCTGTGGCCACGAGGGTTTAGCCAGAAAAAGGGTGGAAGAGCTAGAAAAAGAGGAACTTAGACAATTGATCGTAGTTATCCACTATTGAAATGAAAAGAGATTCTCAATAGTAGCAACTCGACAGGTCAGTAGGGGGAGGGCGGATTATCCTGTGTAGATATGACTATCCTCGGATCAACTCACCTAGCTAGTGGGATTCCTTCTGCACCCCGCGCGTACGACAGCATGGTCCTCCATAACGGAGCACATTCGGGCATCACTCTGCTGGCATTGCACTTCCCTCTGCACGCTTGTTGATACTGCCAAGTCGCATTCGAGTTTACGAAAGCGATTGGATTGCCGAGACTGGCTTGCCCCCTATCTCTGCTGCCGCGGAGGCTAATGGCAGTCAGTCCCATAGTAATAAATATTAATCCGATGCAGCTTCCAATCAGCGATGACGATGAATCACTAGTAGGACCATAGTGTCTGAGAGACTCCATTCCAATTTCCTCCATTGGGTAGGGAAAACCGGCCCTCGGTGGACTGGGAATAGACTAAGAATATTCTATGGAAGCGCTTGCGAGTTTAGCTCACTTCGGGATCGCCCATAGAAGCTCCCCGGCGAGCTACGCCACGGGACTGGCCCTGTCTTCATGAATAAATTACCCTGAGGATTGAAGACCCCCAAGGTAAGTGCCGAAACAGGATGTGTGGTGGATTTAGTGAACGCTTCGCCGATGGGACTCTACTAGTAAGAGACGAAGACTGTCTTTTTAGTGCTCGCCTAGCGAGGGCTTTTCCCCCCCGTTCTCTCTCTCCAGCTTGATCGGGACAAATGCCAGCCCAGTCGATTGCGGGCCACTGCATGACAATGGGGAGGATTACAGTTAGTCGAGGATCCCGTGCGCTGCTGTTGCTGCTGCTATTGCTGTTTCGAGAATGGAAAACAGGCAAGCGGGAAATCTGACATCTCCGCTTAACAGGTTCTGGTGACACTCTAGCGGGTTCTAGCTTCGGAGTGTTAAATCCCAAACCGCCAGAAAATTGGACCATTCCCCATAACGAGCCAGAATTCGGGGACTTGCGGATCCCTATGGCGTGTGTGTGTGTGTGTGTGTGAGTGTGTGTGTGTGTGTGTGTGTGTGTGTGTGTGTGTGTGTGTGTGTGCACTGTATGGGTGTGCTTTTGTGGCCTCGCCCTTTCGGATCCTATCGCCAGGTTTCCGTTGGACCGTCAATGTGCGGGAGCCGATGGGATTATTCCAGATCCGCCTTTTTTTTTGGTCATGGAACTTGCTGACCATACCATGAGAATTTAATTGCTATACCCAACAGTCCATGTGCAAGTCGCACTCCCATCAAGAGGCTGGAACAATGAGCTGGCGGAGATGGTTCGTTGCGCATGTCAGTTTGCACAGTACTCCATCTCAGGGGAGACTCCTCCGGACTCCGGAACCCCATAGACACTTGCGTGTCATGTAGACGAGGCAGTAAAATTGGCTTCGGCGGTGGAAAGCGATAATAATAGCACGGAAGATAATAATAATAGCGATAGTGTCTTGTCCGGAATTCCATTAGACAGATGCAGGGTAAATAGAGTCGTATGGAGTACCGCTCATCAGGGGCCGGGCTTAAACCCGATTGACAGGTAGGATTTTCGGGACTCGCGCCTCGCTAGTCGCTCCTGCGTCCAAATGCATTGCCGGAGGCTATTTTGATCCCGGCCAGCTATGTTCTCGTTCACAATTTCTCTGATGGTGTTGGGATTTCGTTCATCGAGCATGATCGCTTGTCTTCATGACGAAGCTCACTGACAACGGAGGTGAAGGAATGACCAAGCTGGCAAAGCTTGTGTGGAGAATTCCCTCCCTTTTTTTTGACTTTTGAATTTGATTGTTGTTTTTCCAAGAAGTATTGAAGCTATAGGGCATGTGTTTACCCACCGAGAGGCGGATCCCGAATCCACCGTACCTAGTCTAGCTAGGTACGGCGTTAGGGAGCAATAGGGACGCGTCGAACCGCTTGTACTTCCAGTTTCCCCGAGTACAAACCGTCCAAGAAGGAACAATTTCGGGACCATCGATGGGGATTGCCTCATGGAATGAAGTGATCTGTGGGAGTTAGGTTTAAGGCAGCAGGATGGGCAGCGATTCATTGCTGATGCTTCTCATCTCGTCCTGTTCCCTCCAACAGAAATCTCCGATAGCGAAAGAAGGGAACGATCTTCGGACCAATGCGTCATATCTAATGACAGGATCCAATTCAGGTTGACGCCGCCTCTCGATGGGAAAATAATCTCCTATACCCAAGGAAGCTAAAGAAGGCACCAAGAGTGGCTCAGAGTGGAAGGTTGAAGGAGGAGGGGGCGACGGGTGGGTGAAGGGGGAGGAGGGGGGAGAGGTACGAGGCGGGGTGCTGTGTTCTCACGCTGGTCCATCAGGGACATCCAGACACGATGCCAGGCTGAAACACACACATCGACAGGAGAACAGACCAGATGGCGACAATCGCTTGACTACGCAGCAGGGGTAACCGGGAGATGACGCGGTGGGAAGCATGGCCATGGGAAAATCATTAGTTCTTTCCTCAGGGGGGGAGATGAGAGAACAAAGAGAAGGTTTCAAAAACAGTCGCAGTGGCGAGAACGATGATTAAATG